TTAAACTATCGAATCAGAATTCCTAAAACAGAAGAAATCACAATAGTCCGTGTTGATGTCCTCAAGATTTTCTCCAGAGTTGCACTTGCCTCCTGAAGTATGGCTGAGTAACGTGGAGTCTTGCATCAGCCAGCACATGTTGCATCCACATGTTAAACTGTTGCCTGTGGAGAGGGAGGTGGAGAGGGAATCAAGCCAGTGGTGGTATGTGGCTTGTGAGTGTAATTAAGGAATATAAAAATATGTAAAAAATACGAATACAAACACAAACAAACAAACACACACACACGCAAACACACACACAAACACACACACATGTACATCATGAGTGCGCGTGTACGTGTGTGTGAAATATACACCCTTATCAGATAAGTGAATATGGGAATAAAAGAAAGGGTTGACGGCGACATCTTCGTTATCAGCTGATAAAAAACCCATACTTCTCTTTCACACAAGAACGCGAGAGGAGACATCCTAGGTTGTTATCAATGTCATTAGTCTGTGTTTATAGCCTTGGCATCGATTTAAGATTATACTATATCTCATTACACGCTCACACAGACACACATAAGCACAGAAACACATGAAAAATCTACATAGACATATGTGTGTGTGTATATATATATACGTATATATATGTGTATATATATGTATATATATCATATATATATATATATATATATATATATATATATATATATATATATATACATATGTATATATGTATATATATATATATATATATATATATATATATATATATATATATATATATATATATATATATATATATATATATATATTATATATATATATATATATATATATATATATATATATATATATATAGATAGTATATATATATATATATATATATATATATATATATATATATATATATATATATATATATATATTCAGATGTTCACTATATTTGAGTGATAAAAGAAAGGAGAAACTGTGATGATTGTCGACTTCTCGAAATCACTTAAGTCACAAGACAACATCTGCAGCACAAAGTCAACGAATACTAATATCATGCACCTTAACAGAAAATAAAAATAAAAACTATACACATCAGAAATTTATTGAAATACGAGACACCAGGCCCGTAAAGGAGAGATTTCCAAACTGCTGCCTCACCTTTCAATAAACCTTTTGCCCTATTTATCATTTAGTCTATCATAAAATTAACAACTCACCATCGATGTGAAGAGAATCTGGGCCCAAGACAGAGATCATAGGCCGCCACACGGACTCGGGAAGATCAGTCAGAGAATTGCCACGAAAGTCTAAAGTAACAGTTTGCGAGAGGCTTGTACCTGTCAAGAATGAAGGTGGAAAAAGAGGTATTTATAAAACAGATTTTGCCGGTAGTGTATTTCCGTATCGTGGCTGCAACTATTGTCTTTGTTTGACTGTGTTAGTATTTGTTGTACCGGTTTTCCTTGATCCTGTGGTGAACGCGATGGTGACTGGTGGATTAAGGAGACGTATGAACACTGAATAATGGTAACTAACGATGAATGTGATTTATACCGGGGTATTCTAAATATGGGCGTGAAGGTTGATATTTTTGAGGCCTGGTAGCACCGACATGTTGATAATATATTATATATATACATATGTGTCCATATATATACACATACATACTTACTTTTGTAAGGGCCACAAATGTGTGTATATATGCATGTGTGTGTGTGTGTGTGTGTGTGTGTGTGTGTGTGTGTGTGTGTGTGTGTGTGTGTGTGTGTGTGTGTGTGTGTGTGTGTGTGCGTGTGTGTGCGTGTGTGTATGTATGTGTGTGTGTGTCTGTTATACGCACACGCACATACGTGTATATATTCATACATACGTATACAGTGTATGTGTGTGTATGTGTGTGTGTGAGTTTGTGTGTGAGTGTGTGTGTGTGTGTGTGTGTGTGTGTGTGTGTGTGTGTGTGTGTGTGTGTGTGTGTGTGTGTGTGTGTGCCTGCATGCGTACATGTGTGTGAAAATAGCTAGACATAGATATGACTACTCAAATTTGATATCAAATGTTGTGCTATAATGGTCAACGGACCGATTGGACAACTCCGAGCAGTGCTAATGACGGTGACAAATGCGATGAAACAAGTGATGATTATGCCTGCGATGACAAGGCCAAAGATAATGACGCTATCCAGTCTTACCGAAAGTATTTTGTTCCACCTGACTGATGGCATTTCCAGCAAGGCCCACGATAATCAGACTCTTGCTGTTAAGGTTAAATGTACCGCTACTGAGGGTCTGGATCTGATTGCCCATCAGGTATAGCTCCTGCAGGTGGTTTAGGCCGTCGAATAGACCTACGGGGACTTCCTTGAGGCTGGCGTCGTTCAGATAGAGTGCTCTGAGATAGCGCGTGTTTGTAAAAGTATTAGCGGTCAATTCAAGCAAAGGATTACTGTCGAGTTTCAAGATTTCCAAGCTTGAGCTCTCCAAGTCCAAAATCCTGCCAAGCCTATTTCTCTTGAGGTAGAGGTGCTGTAGGAGGAAGTAGTTCCCCAGCGTCGCGAAGGGAAAGCTCGTGAGGGCGTTGGATCCGAGGTCGAGGACCAGCAGTCTGGAGGCCGAGCTTGCGAAGGCAGTGTCGGCGACGGCGCTGAGGTTCGTGCGCACGAGGGTGATGTTCTGGAACGACACGGGGCCGAAGATCCCTCCTGGAAGCTCTCCCTCGAGGTGCGGGTTGTCGGCGATGGCGAGGGACGTGAACGACGGGAAGGGGAACTCCGCCTGAAACACCCTCGCCAGGTCGTCCAAGTCCTTCACCGAACTGCAGTCGAGGTCGAGGGATGCGCCGTCGAAGGAGCACACGCAGGGCGCCACGTCGACGTCGAAAGGACACGGAAGGGCACGCTCCTCTCTCCTCGACGCAGCAGAAGACAATCCTTCTTCAGAAATGAACATCCTGTAAGAGTCCACGGAGTCGTCGACCCAGAGAGGCTTCATAACGTGTGCATAACAGGCCGATGGCACACAAGCCACTAAAACTACCCAAAAAGGCTTCGATGTAATGAAATGCATCCTCGCTCTGTAGCCAAGATTGACAGCTACTGAAGGCGAGTGACAGACAATCATCCCTTTATATCAACATCTGATTCCCTTTCCAATAAACTCTGATACCCAGATATTGAAATGATAACGACATTACGTGAGAATATTCTGACAGGCGCCCCAAAGTATCACTCTGTGTCGTTCTTATACTGTACATTAGATTTTTTACTAATGAGTAGATAACCATATATTTTTTTAATGTTTGAATCAATTGAAATGTTTAGAATATGTACTAAATTTACCAAACTGTGATCATTTTAAGTCTTCGGAACTTATCTAACATAGTATATCCGTTACATTTCTAATAACTAAATAATCAAATGATATATTCGGTTAAGAATAACACAAAAAAACATGACTACATTTACATACAGATGGACCGAACAACAATCTACAACACAAACACCAGATAACACTATAACGAAAAACCTTAATAAATGAAACAAAATATCGTTAGTCTCATAATGGCAATAGCGTCTCTGCGAAGACTATGATAAGATTCAGACATAAATGAAAGAGATATGAAGACGGGATGAACCACGGTCTGTATTAGCTATTGCGTAACTTCATGAGATTTTGAACATGTGCGATTTAAAGGAGATAATCTATTTTGTCATGGGGAGGATTATCCACCGCATAAGAAATGTGATGCCTATCTATTTCTACTCGAAATATGATTAAAATTATTCCGCTGATGTTATTTCATCTTATCAGTACATGTGCATCAAATATATTCCAGTTATCCACATCATTAGTTGATTAAAATACAGTAAAACATTTAAGTATTCCCAAACAGCGTAACAGTATATCTTCTTCATATAAAATCATTTGTTCAGTTTCAGAAGACTGCGAGGAAAATTAATGATATTCAGTCAGGTCACGGTTTCGCAAACCTCTATTTTTTTCGCAAATAGACATCAGTACGGATTTTTTTTCTTCTTCTTTCTTTCTTTCTTTCTAGATTATTCCAATACTCTCCCCTTTAAAAGTTTCTCTTCAAACATCTTATAACACAAAAGCAAACTCTTTCAAGCCACTCAACTCTGAGAAATAGAAAACCATTCCACAGCGTTTCCCTCGCATGGTTCTAAGAGATGCTGTGGCTATATTAAATTCTCATCTCGTCCCGTAGCAAGCATCCCTCACAAACGACAAAGATTGTTTGATGTACCATTCTTCGGTCGAGTTTACTGTCTCTCGTTCCCGGAACTGCATTCCTCTGACCCCTTTCCTTCCCCTCCCCCCTCCCCCCCCTAGATCGACCCCTTACCCCCACTAACTCTGCCCCTTCCCCCCCTCGATTCCCCTCTCCCTACACCCCAGTCAAATACCCTTACCCCTTTTCTTCCTATACCCCCCTAAGCCTTACCCTGCCCTTTCCCTACTTACCTGCCGGTCTATCTCCCCCTACCTCTACACCTGCCCCTCCCTACCTCCCTGGCTCTCCCCTGCCCCTAGATCTATCCCCTCCCCTCCCTACCTCCCTACTCCTCCCCTGCCCCTAGAACTATCCCCTCCCCTCTCTACCTCCCTGGCCCTCCCCTGCCCCTAGATCTATCCCCTCCCCTCCCTACCTCCCATGGCAACTCCCCTGCACCTAGCTCTACCCCCCCCCTCCTTCCCTAGATCTATCCCCTCCCCTCCCTACCTCCCTGGCCCTCCCCTGCCCCTAGATCTATCCCCTCCCCTCCCTACCTCCCTGGCCCTCCCCTGCCCCTAGATCTATCCCCTCCCCTCCCTACCTCCCTGGCCCTCCCCTGCCCCTAGATCTATCCCCTCCCCTCCCTACCTCCCTGGCCCTCCCCTGCCCCTAGATCTATCCCCTCCCCTCCCTACCTCCCTGGCCCTCCCCTGCCCCTAGATCTATCCCCTCCCCTCCCTACCTCCCTGGCCCTCCCCTGCCCCTAGATCTATCCCCTCCCCTCCCTACCTCCCTGGCCCTCCCCTGCCCCTAGATCTATCCCCTCCCCTCCCTACCTCCCTGGCCCTCCCCTGCCCCTAGATCTATCCCCTCCCCTCCCTACCTCCCTGGCCCTCCCCTGCCCCTAGATCTATCCCCTCCCCTCCCTACCTCCCTGGCCCTCCCCTGCCCCTAGATCTATCCCCTCCCCTCCCTACCTCCCTGGCCCTCCCCTGCCCCTAGATCTATCCCCTCCCCTCCCTACCTCCCTGGCCCTCCCCTGCCCCTAGATCTATCCCCTCCCCTCCCTACCTCCCTGGCCCTCCCCTGCCCCTAGATCTATCCCCTCCCCTCCCTACCTCCCTGGCCCTCCCCTGCCCCTAGATCTATCCCCTCCCCTCCCTACCTCCCTGGCCCTCCCCTGCCCCTAGATCTATCCCCTCCCCTCCCTACCTCCCTGGCCCTCCCCTGCCCCTAGATCTATCCCCTCCCCTCCCTACCTCCCTGGCCCTCCCCTGCCCCTAGATCTATCCCCTCCCCTCCCTACCTCCCTGGCCCTCCCCTGCCCCTAGATCTATCCCCTCCCCTCCCTACCTCCCTGGCCCTCCCCTGCCCCTAGATCTATCCCCTCCCCTCCCTACCTCCCTGGCCCTCCCCTGCCCCTAGATCTATCCCCTCCCCTCCCTACCTCCCTGGCCCTCCCCTGCCCCTAGATCTATCCCCTCCCCTCCCTACCTCCCTGGCCCTCCCCTGCCCCTAGATCTATCCCCTCCCCTCCCTACCTCCCTGGCCCTCCCCTGCCCCTAGATCTATCCCCTCCCCTCCCTACCTCCCTGGCCCTCCCCTGCCCCTAGATCTATCCCCTCCCCTCCCTACCTCCCTGGCCCTCCCCTGCCCCTAGATCTATCCCCTCCCCTCCCTACCTCCCTGGCCCTCCCCTGCCCCTAGATCTATCCCCTCCCCTCCCTACCTCCCTGGCCCTCCCCTGCCCCTAGATCTATCCCCTCCCCTCCCTACCTCCCTGGCCCTCCCCTGCCCCTAGATCTATCCCCTCCCCTCCCTACCTCCCTGGCCCTCCCCTGCCCCTAGATCTATCCCCTCCCCTCCCTACCTCCCTGGCCCTCCCCTGCCCCTAGATCTATCCCCTCCCCTCCCTACCTCCCTGGCCCTCCCCTGCCCCTAGATCTATCCCCTCCCCTCCCTACCTCCCTGGCCCTCCCCTGCCCCTAGATCTATCCCCTCCCCTCCCTACCTCCCTGGCCCTCCCCTGCCCCTAGATCTATCCCCTCCCCTCCCTACCTCCCTGGCCCTCCCCTGCCCCTAGATCTATCCCCTCCCCTCCCTACCTCCCTGGCCCTCCCCTGCCCCTAGATCTATCCCCTCCCCTCCCTACCTCCCTGGCCCTCCCCTGCCCCTAGATCTATCCCCTCCCCTCCCTACCTCCCTGGCCCTCCCCTGCCCCTAGATCTATCCCCTCCCCTCCCTACCTCCCTGGCCCTCCCCTGCCCCTAGATCTATCCCCTCCCCTCCCTACCTCCCTGGCCCTCCCCTGCCCCTAGATCTATCCCCTCCCCTCCCTACCTCCCTGGCCCTCCCCTGCCCCTAGATCTATCCCCTCCCCTCCCTACCTCCCTGGCCCTCCCCTGCCCCTAGATCTATCCCCTCCCCTCCCTACCTCCCTGGCCCTCCCCTGCCCCTAGATCTATCCCCTCCCCTCCCTACCTCCCTGGCCCTCCCCTGCCCCTAGATCTATCCCCTCCCCTCCCTACCTCCCTGGCCCTCCCCTGCCCCTAGATCTATCCCCTCCCCTCCCTACCTCCCTGGCCCTCCCCTGCCCCTAGATCTATCCCCTCCCCTCCCTACCTCCCTGGCCCTCCCCTGCCCCTAGATCTATCCCCTCCCCTCCCTACCTCCCTGGCCCTCCCCTGCCCCTAGATCTATCCCCTCCCCTCCCTACCTCCCTGGCCCTCCCCTGCCCCTAGATCTATCCCCTCCCCTCCCTACCTCCCTGGCCCTCCCCTGCCCCTAGATCTATCCCCTCCCCTCCCTACCTCCCTGGCCCTCCCCTGCCCCTAGATCTATCCCCTCCCCTCCCTACCTCCCTGGCCCTCCCCTGCCCCTAGATCTATCCCCTCCCCTCCCTACCTCCCTGGCCCTCCCCTGCCCCTAGATCTATCCCCTCCCCTCCCTACCTCCCTGGCCCTCCCCTGCCCCTAGATCTATCCCCTCCCCTCCCTACCTCCCTGGCCCTCCCCTGCCCCTAGATCTATCCCCTCCCCTCCCTACCTCCCTGGCCCTCCCCTGCCCCTAGATCTATCCCCTCCCCTCCCTACCTCCCTGGCCCTCCCCTGCCCCTAGATCTATCCCCTCCCCTCCCTACCTCCCTGGCCCTCCCCTGCCCCTAGATCTATCCCCTCCCCTCCCTACCTCCCTGGCCCTCCCCTGCCCCTAGATCTATCCCCTCCCCTCCCTACCTCCCTGGCCCTCCCCTGCCCCTAGATCTATCCCCTCCCCTCCCTACCTCCCTGGCCCTCCCCTGCCCCTAGATCTATCCCCTCCCCTCCCTACCTCCCTGGCCCTCCCCTGCCCCTAGATCTATCCCCTCCCCTCCCTACCTCCCTGGCCCTCCCCTGCCCCTAGATCTATCCCCTCCCCTCCCTACCTCCCTGGCCCTCCCCTGCCCCTAGATCTATCCCCTCCCCTCCCTACCTCCCTGGCCCTCCCCTGCCCCTAGATCTATCCCCTCCCCTCGATGAACTGGAAAATATATATTATATATATATTCTTTAATGATGCACATGTTTCTGTTAATATTGGTTTGTGCAAGAGAGGGAGACAAAAAAGTGGCGTTTCCACCATGCAGAAAATTATGTATCTCGTACGTAAGTCTCCAGTATATTTAATGATAAAACACTGTTTTGGGTACAGATGTGATATGCTCTGTGTCCTTTCTCTTTGCTTATATCACTATTTTGTCTTTTTACACATCATGCATAATAAAACAACATTTACATTCCTGTTTCTGGGTCAGCACAGATCACAAAGTGTCTGGCTCTATACTTTGCGGTGCATTAGGCTGTTTGGATAAGCGATTCCTATTACTTATAAACAAGAGAGAGCAAAT